GAACTGTTTTGAGAAACAGACCGAACTATTTAGAGAGTAACAAGTGTTAACCGCCAGAAAAAGCATGGAAACAGACACTGCCGTAAAGGAGTTTGGACCGCTGTCAATTCGCAGTTAATTCATCAGGTTTCTATCTCAGAAAATGTGAGGTCGCGGAGCTCTTGGCTGGAGCAGAATCTTGGGTGAAATTCGTTTCCAGACCAGAGTTTGAAACGGGAGGGAGCACCATAGCTCTCCACGCACAGGCAGGCTTGTGGCGGGATTCCAGGCGTAAGTGCTCCTCCACACTCCGTTTCGAACAAGGCCTTGACCTTAGAAGGATTCAGAGCATTATATGTTTGCTGACGTTTGCAAATAGACTTCTATAAGTGGCAACTTCATCTTTCAGAGAATTCTCTGAGATTTCTCAAGCGATATTCTCAAGATCTTTCTAAAAAGCATAGTTCCTTGGTAGCAAACACACTGGGTTTAAGTTAGCCAGCATCACAGGGACAAGAGCTGTGCATTGGTAGAGCACGGCTGTCTCTGTTTGGATCCTCGTGTGTCACGTGACTCGCATGTGGAGCATGGCAGCCTGATGGAGCAATTTTTGACCAAGCTCCTTGACTTCTCCTTTGATGCTGTTGCTCTGCCGTGGGAGTGCTTTGACGTGGTTCCGATTCTGCTCTAGTGTTCACTAGCTCCTTTCTGGTGACATACTGCTTGACATTTATTAAAGACACCGCTTTCCCACCTCGGAGATTGGAAATAATAACATGTACCTCAGATATTTGTGGTGAGGATTAAATCAAATATTTTCAGTTTTTCCTGCAAAGCCTATGACATCTCACTTGCTCCATAAGTCATGGTAATGGATGACAGTGGTGGCATTGGTGAGGGTGGTGGCCATGGAAAGGGCTGTACAGAGTGGCTGACCACATGCGCTCCACTCGGGAGGCTCTGGGGCAACCATTCCTAAATGCAAGCATGTTCAGTGGACTTAGTTACAAACTTCCATCCCAGTTGACAGAATCCTCCCTCTCTCTTCCACTACAAGCATGCTGTTTTCTAGGAATCTCACCAGAAATCTTATTTATAGAAAAATAACATATATTGAACCTTTGTACAGCCACTGTGGCTTCTAGTTTTACCTTACTAGATTATTATTCCACCCAAGCTCTTGGGGACCCAGTCTGTAACCTCCCTCCCTTATCAGAAAGGGATAAAGGGGAGAGTCTTTCTAGCAATAACCCGAGGAACACCAAAATGATGTACATGACCACTGCTAAGATCCTGAAACCTCTCTGTCTTGAAAGCTACCCCAGAAGTTGACTATGTCTTACTTTCTGCTGTCCTGCCTTGGAAGGCCCATGCCCACATTGGGTCTGTCTTTCTTCCTAACCATCTTTCTTTTTCTTAGCCCTCATGTTTAATCTTTCATAAAGTCTCCAATGCTTCCTCAAACTGGCTTGTCCTGAATTTCTTTTCTCTGTCATAGCCAAAAACCCTGGCTGGGTCTGAGTTGAGGTTCATAGAAGAAAATTGGAGTACTCCTCAGGTCGATGAGAACGAGAGCATGGAGCTGTGTCTTTGTCCCATCACCACTAAAACAAACATCAGGCAGGGAACTATTGTGTCCCAGTGAAGCCCTGTGACAACTGAGGCTACTACCCACAAACATGGCGTGTTGGGAACACACAGACTTTCTCAGAATTGTCAAAGCAGGTAGCAACTGCTGGCTGCCACAGTAAAATGTAGCATCACCCAACAGGGACTGGAGAGGGGGCTTTTGATGTTACTTCTCTTGTCTCTGCCAACCCCACTCAACACTGTCATCACCTGAAAGAACAGAGAGAAAAAACAGCCACACCAGTCTATGAATGAGGCTCCAGGAAGGTTCGGCAGAATCTGTGCTGACAGAGTAAGGGGGGGATAACATTCTCAAGAAGGGCTTTATCTGACTCAAATGCAATTGTGTGGCTTAATGGAAGACTGTTCTCCAGCTCATGAAAAGGAAGGAGGAAGCGGACGACAGCGCCAATCTATTGATTGAATCTCAAGCTATTTTGCTACGGGATGTCCTCCCTTAGGAGGCTCAGTGCCCAGAGATCATCTGCACAAGGTTTAGCTGGGGGTACATGCTCACACACACAAAGACTGTCCTTGCTACCATTGCCTCCACCACCACCACTGCCTCCACCACAAGACGTGTAGGCAGCAGCTGATGGCAAAACATTTGTCCGTGATAGTTTGAAAATTGTAATTGTATCTTGCATGATAACAGCTTGGTGTACATTTGATACTCTTGTCTACAAATGTGGGTCTGGCAGGCTAAGATGAGATATGACTGAAAAGTTGATTCTGGCTTAGTGTAACCATCCGAGCATATGTCCATGCCTCTTCTGTTCTGTTAACACATCCTCCTCAACAGATGGGGCAGGGGGCAGGGCTGAGGACCAAAGAATAATCCTGGCTTCCATTGTCTGCCCCACAGATGTCTTTGAAAAAGGCTTAACTTTTTTTTTTTCAGAGTTCTGTGATGTTTTGTACTTTACTAAGGTTATTTGAAAAGGGCACACGTTCTCCATTCTTTGAATACCGACCGAGAGAAGGAAAGGAAAGATGGTGTATGACGATACTCTAGCTTGAAACCAAGCTGCATAATTTTAAATTTGAAATACCACAATGATAAGTTTCAGCATTACAATTTATATGGTGTTTTACAATGATCTCAAATCGAGGTTGAAAAAAGGTGCTTTTCAATGGAACAATCTGATAAGGGAAAAGGGGTGTGTGTGTGTGTGTGTGTGTGTGTGCGCGCGCTCAGAACAATGGTCTGAACCAGGTGGGCTGGCACCCACCCGTTATGCCAGCCCTCGGAAGGTAGAAGCAGGAGGACTGTGAATTCTAGAACAGCCTGGGCTAAATACTAAAATCCTGCACCAAAAGATAAACGTCAAAGCTGTCTTCGCCCAGTAGAATCTGGGAGACACTGATGGGCCTTTCTTAGTTTGTCCTGGCTGGCATCCAGGTCTTCTCATACCTCCCTAGTGAAACTATTTATAGCTCTTGGTTTAGTCTTCACTAAAATTAAAGTTTCCCTGGGATCCTGTACTAAATAAAACAACACATTGCCTCATTTTCTTACGACAACTGCGTTGTGCTAGGGACTCCCAACTGAAGCAACTCTGACAGGTATAGATACTGGGTCTGGCCAGCGTCTCCAGCCACATACCTAGCATATGGAACTGAGAAATTCTGACCCACAGTGGGAACAAAGACTTGGATAATTCTGCAGAGAAAGAATAAACAGGCAGAGCATGACCCGCTGCTGAGGCGCCTGAGACCACAGACAGCGCCTTGCCAAGCACAAGCAGAAACGGAGATGCGGGGGGGGGGGGGGGGGGGGGGGGGGGGGGGGGGGCTCTGAAACCAGCTGCCCCAGCCTTGTCCCTCAGCGTGGGAATCGCCTTGCCCTTCCCACAGGACCAAATGCAGGGAGCTGGCAGTGATGGGAGAAGAGGGTCAAATAGCTCAGCTTCCTCCCAGAGTTGATGCATATTTTTAGAAGTGAGTGGAACTCATTAGTACCATGACATTCCCGGTGCGGGTCTAGTCACTGGGCTGCCTGTGGCCTTTGATGCTGGCACGCCACAGCTGTTCCTACACGTCTGCTCTGAAAGCAAGATCAGACACCTAATCCTCTCCCACAAGCCATCACATGTTAATCTCTCCCTTTCTCCCCAGGCTCCCAGACCCTTCCGACTCATCGTTCCCCCCCACACGCCTCTGACATAACTCAGAGGCGAGTTCCTCTTCTCTGTCATCTATTTCCACAGTCTCACAAAACTTTGCATGATTAAGGGATTTCATTTATTTATTTATTTGTTTGTTTGTTTTGTTTTGAGACAGAGTTTCTCTGTGTAACAGCTCTGGCTATCCTAGAACTCTCTTTGTAGAGCAGACTGGCTTCAAACGCACAGAGATTGGCCTGCCTCTTCCTCCCAAGTGCTGAGATTCATGACGTGTGCCACCAATGCCTGGCTCACTCTTTAGACTTGTTATCTATCATCTGTCTACCCAACAGGAGAGGTGACAAAAAGTCTCATCTCCATTCCTAGACAGGAAATGCTAATTACTCTCACCCAAACCAAATCCCAACACTCAGGGGAAAGGCGTAGTTCAGCCCAGCATGACTCTAGGGCTCACTCTGGAATACTCAAGAGGTAGGTCTCCTAGAAGATGAAGTTACCCACTCAAAATCTAGGAGGTAGAGGCAGGAGTATCCATCAGAAGCACTACATGTATACATTGCACCTGCTCTTTACAAAGCCCGCTTTGGAGAAATTCATTCACTGCATGGTCAAGGTTTATGAAAACAGCCAGATATTAGCTGTATCTTCAATATGATTACCACAGTTTAAAAATAAGTAATAAATCTTTAATATACTTGCCAAGTCACTGCTTTACCCAATCACATCATAACACACAACAAATAACAGATTCGCAATAAATGCTTGTCAAATGATTGGATGGACAGAAAAGAAAGGCAGAAACAGGGCACAGCAAACAGTAATGACTTAGTGTAAGATGACAGGACACTTTTATTTTTATCCACTTCCAAATGCTTACAAATGTCACCATTAGCGTATGTTGCTTTTAAATTTTACTTCAAAACATTATCATTATAAGGAAACTTATGAAAAGTGAGTATTCTATACTTCCCTGGGGAGAAAAATCGAAGTGCTATTGAGCTCCCTGGGCAGCGATCGGTATTAACCTCTTGGTGATGATGCCTCCCAACAAGATGAACAGGAGTATGAAGAAAGAAAGGACACTTCTCACTCCTGAGAACCCAGCCTGCCAGAGCCATGACCCACGGAGTACTGGGGCATTTCATTCGGTGAAAACAGTGATCTCTCCCCAGGACAGTCCAGAATCACTTCGTTGTTTGCCCTGCTTTTGCAACAAGACCCTTCCCAGACTAAACAAGGATCACAAGGATCATCCAAGCAGCCTACCGTGTTCACCTCTGCCAGCCTTGGTTACTCATCCAAGTGTTCCCACTACGCTTCTTTTCTTTTGTGATGGTGCACAGCTGTCTTTACAGGCACGGAGATGTCAGAGTCGGGGTCATTACACTAGAGGAATTTGGACCAACTCAAGGCCGCTTGTGTTTTCAGAATCTAGTCACATTGTCATGCCGCCTCATCATCAACTTCCGAAGCTCTGCCTTACCTTCTGAACCCTTCCTTATCGGAGTCTCCTCCACTCCGTGCCACCCTCCCCAGTCCTCCCCCTAAACTTCCTCCTCCTGAGCTAAGTGGTAGCTGGGTGACACAGCACTTGCCTAGACTACATGAGGTCCTGGGTCTGATCTCTAGCACGGCCAAAAGAAAAAGGCTTCCCTGTTTTATAGATCTCAAGTTTTGTCAGTCACTGGAATCTAAGTCCTTACTGGAGGAGGGAAGGAAGGCTCGCACAGCCCAAAGCCTCAGCCTAAGGGCTTCATGCAGGTGTTGGCCATGAATTCTTGTGTCTACAGCAGAGAGTTTGTGTCTAGAGTCTGTAACAGTCATTCACCTCCTTTCATCTGGTTGCCCAGCTCTCTTTTCCCCTTCATTGTCTTTGTTGTGTGAATATCTTTCTCTCCCGTGAGTCAGGATCCTTTCTAAAAATGTTTTCCTTTCACAATATATTTAAACCCAACTTTTTAAAAAGCATCCAGAAGCAGCCCCGCCAGAGCTACTTCCACAGCGGGTTTTCTGTCTCATGTTTCTGCTTCATTCTGTTTTCCTTCTCTTCCTCCCCTCATTGTTCTCCCTGGTAACTACCTGGGACACTCATTTTTCTGCATTCAGTTCCATGCTTATATTACACATATATAACCATGTGGCAGCGACCACACTTTTTTTTTTCTTTTATAAAAATGCGATCCTATTTTAAAGGCTTTTCTGTGTCTTCTTTTTCTCATCCAGTAATTTATGGAAATCCCTTCCAGTTCCGTGGTGTGAGTCCAATTCTTTTTCATTTAGTGGGTGCATAATATCACATGGAGAAAATGTTCCACAATTCGTTCAGTATTTCCTGTGGATAGACGCTCATTTCTGTCTGGTTTTGCCCAGCCAATGCAGTAATAAACACCCTTAATTCACATTCCTAGACCTGGGGCTTTTATTTCTGACCGTCTCTCCCGATGGATAGCTGCTCGATTGGAAATTATAGGTACTTTTATTTTGACAATAATTTTCATTTGTCTTCAAAATTACTGTAACAATTCCTGTTTCTGCCGCTAAAGGTGAGGCTATTGCCTGCGTGCCCAGCAGCTATGGATTGTGCCTGAGAGGCCTGGCCTCTGTCAGATCTTGTTACCCCCTTCTTGTCTGGAGTTTCCTTGGCCTGCTGTGGGTGTGAACATCCTCTTCGATCCTCCTTGAATTGCCTCTGAAATTCTTTTGTCCATTTTCCCCCTTAATGTTCATCTTTTGGTCATTCTGTAGGGACCCTTCATATAGAACTCCTTAGCTCATTCTCAGCCTTATAGATCTCTTTCCAAATTGATTCCTTATATTGGTTTATTTGTAATTGTATGTAAAAAGCTTTTTTCAGCTTTATATAGCCTACAGTTTTTAAAAACTCTTCCTGTATGTATGTATGTATATGATGTACATGCATGGACAACATATGACCATACATATACTCTGTATGAATGGTCAGTGCATGTACATGCATGTACATGTGAATGTTTATGATCATTATGTGCATGCTCACCCATTCACACATGCTAGAGCATGTATGTGGAAGTCAGAGAACAATCTAGTGTGTCTGTCTTTGCCTACCACCTTTTGGGGGAACATGCTTCCCTTATTGCTCCCCACTACATACAGAAGGCTAATTTGACTACAAGGTTCCAGCAATTCTCCTGCCTCTGCCACCAACCTTGCCAAGGACCTCTGGAATTACAGACACACAACATTGCACCTGGTTTTGCAAGGGTTCTGGGAATTCAAACTCTAGTCCTGACGCTGGCATGGCAAATGCTTTCCACACCAAGCCATCTTCCTAGGCCCCAGTCTGTGATAAAAAAGCCCCTGAACATACATACCTTGCTTACGGTCTCCTTTCTCCCAGAAGAGGTGTGTAGGTATCTCTTAGATCTTCTCTCAGGCATTGTTTTTTTAAATTGCCTTGTTGTCTACATTCAATTCATTTTCCTACCTATATTAATATTCAGCTATTGGATGGTGGAATATCCTTGGAAATACAAAAAGAAATATGTATCCTTTCATTGTTTGAGTATGGCATTAAATGGGAGGTTTGTGGCTGTGTTACTGACATCACTCCCAGGACAAGGAGAGGAACCACTACCTACTTGCTGTTGGCTGTGAATTAGGATCCGGACTCTGCACATTTTCATGCTAACTTGTAGAGGTTTCTCCGGCAAAAATTCAAATTATTTTTAGCCAAGGGAGAACGTAGCTCATAGAACAGTTTTGCTTCCGAACAGGCCATTAGTCAGTTTGTCTCTTGGTAACCTTGCTCCAGAATGTCTCTCCTGATAGACTCCCATCTCTGTCCTCCAAATGCCCTCCAGACCATCTCTCTCATCCCTCTGCTCCCTCTCATCCCTCTGCTCCCTCTTTCCTGGGGGCTAGAAATCTTTGGTCCCTGTTCAATTTATTTTCACAGAAGAGCCCTGTTTTTTTTTTAAACTTTTTAACAGTCACATTTTGAAGCTGGAAGGCACATGTGTATCTATTGTGAGAGATGTTTTATTTTCCTCTGTATGAATGGACAGTTGTGCCAGATCCATTTATTAAATAGCATCCTTTTTACCTCCAATGAATGGCAATGCTTAATTATTTCAGCCCTCAGAGAAAACTTAGCCTGCATAGTACATGCAGAAAATACATATTTTGTAACTATTGTTTATGCATCCAGGTACCCAGGAGGCAGGGCAGGTGGACCTTTGTCACCAACTTGCTTTGTACTATATTCTGATGTGCCAAATGGTCACCTTTATTTACTTTTCTATCAATTGTTTGCCCTCGATGCATAAGTATTTTTCTTATAAATTTTAAGGCATTTTTCTTCCAATTCTAAAGTTAAACCTATTTTTGGAGTTTTACTGAATGTTATACACTCACCTGTTTCAATATCTTGGTGAAGTTGGTATTGTTCTGGTTTTGAGCCTCTCATCTTTGGCACTGATATATCCTCCCATTATTTCAGCTTTTGCTTTATATTTTTCAATAGCAATTTTATGGTTTCTTTTTACAGGACCCACATTTTACTATCATTACCACTATGTGTTCTGTAGATATTGAACATGGAATGTTATTTTTCTATTTCCATTTGCAGATGATTTTTGCCACAAGAGAGAAAAACAAATTATATTTTATATCTCTATCTCGTATACAAATGCCCTAATAAAGTCTCATTATTTTTAAACAGTTCACTTGATTTCACATTCTGGCCTGAAGAGCTTCTAGAGAGAAAAAAATTAAATATAGCTAGCCCATATGATCTCCTGTCTGTCTCTACATAGTTTACTTCAGCCAGCAACCAGTCCTTTAACACGTTCCATATTTTTTCCTAATGCCATAAAACTGGCCGTGGGCATGCTCTTTAAAGTCGCTGTTTAAGCTCTTGCTGAGAGAGAAGGAAGAGCCTTGCAGGAAAACAGTCTACCAGGAGGCTCTCTGCATGATACAGGTCGTGGGAGAGAGATCAGACCTGGAAACGATGTGACCCACAGGCTCAGAGCTGCACAATACACCATCCCATCTGCTAGGAAAAGAGCCGTGTGCCAGTAGTGAGGGCTGCTTTAAAATCTTAGACACCAAGTACGATGACAGGAAGTGAAGGGGCAGGTTAGGATGGGGAACAAGAAAGAAGTCCTGACAAGAAAAAGTTTTATAGAATTGGAATATTTACAAGGCAGCTCCCGGGAGCTGAATTTGTGCGGCTTTGATTGTAGCATTAGAAACCCAAGCATCCAAACGCTTCTGGGGCACTGAGCGCGTGTTTTGTAAAGGGTGCAGTGGTTTCACGTGAGCATGCTCAGAAGCTCACACTCACAGTGCAGTGGCTTCACGTGAGCACGCTCAGAAGCTCACACTCACAGTGCAGTGGCTTCACGTGAGCACACTCGGAAGCTCACACTCAGTGCAGTGGCTTCACGTGAGCACACTCAGAAGCACACACTCACAGTAGTAAATAACCTTTCTTCGTACCCCCTGCTTTGTCTAAACACTTCCCTTGTGGTGTTCTTGACCATAAAGACTGTTTTATCTTTTCTGGGGGAGAATAGTTCACTTCCTACCACCCTTTAAAATAAAGGGAAGGGGGAATATGGTTATCCTCTTTTTATGTAGTAAGATAATAAGGTGCCAGCACTTGGGGTTTTTTTGTAATTTAATCAGAGTGTTTTATAGTCCGTAAAATCAGTGGCCTTCCGAATTCAAAAATGGTGTTTTCCACAGGAAAAAGATTCACCAAGAGCACATATGCTTTTCCAATCCATTTGTTCTTGGTGCCTGCAGTGTTGGAGGAGGCATTTATGGCTAGCCTATGCTTGTTCTAAATGTCATGAGTGACAGACTCTTAACATTAGAGAGAACATCTTCATTTACCATCATCTGAGTCAATATTGTTGCAAGAGACATTTGCTCAATCTAATAAAACACAAACTCCTTCGGCCTGGAAAAACAAAAAGGCCCTGAAACACCCCAAGATCATTTTTCATGGGACTAAGAAGAAAGAGTCTGCAGACAGAACAGCTGGATCCTCTTTAGGCTTTGAAAAGAACACACCGAAGGAAACGCGGTCCTTGTTTTCCCCAGGAAGCTGGGTAGAAGCCCACAGTGGTCGTCCGACATCCTCCCTCTCACTCCCAACAAATTCACTCTGAAAGACAGCCAGTGTCTCTCTGTCGTCCTGGGTGTGCATGCGGTCTTTGGCGCCAAAGGCCAGGAGCCCTGTGGCATTGCCTTACACCTCCCTTCTCTCTCTTGTCTCTCGCTTCCTGACTCAGCTAGTGAGGAAGCACTCTCTGGCCTGCTCATCTCA